CGAGCTGAAATCAAGAGTCGGATGCTCATCCAACTGAGCCACCCAGGCACCCCTATAAAGGGCAATATTGAGACAATGGGTGAGATCTGAATTAAGACCCATGGATTAGATAAGAGCATTTCAGGGGCGCCTGGGGGGCTCAGTTGGTTAAGCGTCGGCCTTTGGCTCAGGTCATGATCCCAGGGTCCTGGGATTGGCCCTGCATCAGGCTCTCTGCCCAGCAGGGAGCCTGCTTCTCCCTCTGCCTGCTGCTCACTCGTGCGCTGTCTCTCTCTCTCTCTCTCGTCTCTCAAATAAATACATACAAATCTTAAAAAAAAAAAAAGGATAAGAGCATTGCATCAATGTTACTTTCCTGATTTGATCCCTGTCCTGTAATTAGGCAACAGAAAGGCCTTGTCCTTAGGGGGTAAAGGGGCATCGTACCTGTAACTTAAATAGTTAAAAAAATAAATAAAATATACACACACCCACAATAAAGCAAATATAGTAAATGTTAACACTGGGTCCATCTGGGCAAAAAGTATACAATGGTTCTTTCCACATTACTGCAACTTTACTGTAAGTTTGAAATTATTTCAAAATAAAAAGTGGGGGTGGGGTGGGAAGGAGCCCACACTGGTGGTTTGAACAGTAAGGCTGAGATCCAAAAGTCCACACAGAACACTGCTTCTCCGGAAAGCTGGCTCCCATTTTGTTCTCCAAGCATCACTAGCACACCTCCCTGACTTTAATTCTCTCAGCAAATGACCATGTGTTCTCCTTACCATCATTCTACAAGTTCCCCTTTTTTACTTGGTTGTCAGGAAGCTCAGAGCCAAGTTCTTTGCTTGCATGGAGGCCTCTCTGCTTCCTTTGTGGGCTTCTGGAGATGGCATATTCTGCAGAGCATGGGCCTGGAAGTGGCTGGGTGAGAGGACCCTCACCTCTCAAGGTCCGACCCACGGCTCCCCGGCTTCCTCGAAGCCTTGCCAGGATTCCCCAGTTTCTATCAACCCAGGGAGGGCGCTCTGGCTGAGTACCCGAGGCCCCCCCGAGCCTCAGTGCGTTCTCATCGGTAGAAGGTAGGTAAGAGCTACTGCTCTGCCCACCTCCTGGGACAGCCGGGGTATGAGCGGAGATGGGGGCACCCAGGTCACAGAGGAGTGTGGGTGCACACACAGGAGCTTTTTCCTGCCGTCCTCAATGGGCCTCCACCACCGGGGAGACGGAACACCCCGGTGAAGGAAGGGCAGAAGCACAAGATCCCATGGCAGGCCTGGCCCCTGCTCCCCAAACTGGCCCAGCGGCTTCAAGTTACCTTGTCGCAGCTGTGGTTTCAGGCCCTTTGTTGGGCTCAGAACAATATGCCTTCTCTTCCGGGCAGGGCCTCTAGGCTGGCTACAGCCTAGGCCCCACCCCACAGAGCCCCTGGTCTGTGACTAATGAGTCTGAAGGAAAGGCCCCTGGGAGCCAGCCAGGGCTCCCTTCTCCAACCCCACCCATCACAGCAGGGGCTGGGGCCACGTGGCAGGGGTCTCTGGCCACTGCCCATTTAACCAGCACCCACCGTATCCCAGGCACCACACAGCGTTTCGCCCATGCTGGGTCTCACTAAGGGGCCTGGCTGGCAGCCCTGAACCCAGGGGTCAGAAGGCCCAGGTCTGAAACCCCAGCTCAGGACCTCAGGAGAGAATCTCAGCCTCTCCAGGCCCCACCCTCCTCAACTGCAAGTGGACGGTCCCATCTAGGGCTGGGGAGGTGGGCGTGGGGGGGGGGCGGAGATGGAACAGGCCACACACAGAACAGGCCGGCAAACATTTCCAAGCTGGCAACGCTCGGCGAATGGGACGTGAGCAACCTGGGAGAACCCTCCTTTCGACCTCAGGCCAGAGGCTCCATGATTATCACCAGGTTACAGATAAGGAAACAGACGCAGGGAAGGCCAGTATCTTGCCCTAATCGCACCAAAGCCAATCCTCAGAGGACCACACTCACAGGGGATACTACTGTCCCCGTTTCTCAGTTAAGTGACTTGCCTGTGGTCCTGCAGCAAGTCAAGGGGTGGAGCCAGGACTCAACACCAGGCCTGTCTAGCTCTTCCTAGGCCACCTCCCAGGACAGGTGCCCTCTCTGTGACCCCGACCACAGAGCCCGAGGCCCAAATCCCACCTGTTCCACCACAGTCTGATACCCTGCCTCCCACAATGAGGCCCCAACTGCCAAGCCAACAGGGCACCCACCCCCTCCTCAAACACCCGTGACGGCTCCCCACTGCCTACACCAAGGCCCCTTACTGTAAGGCTACAACTCTGGCCAAAAGCCCTTCTTGCCTCAGGCCTTGGCATACTCTTCTTCCTGCCCCAAATGCCCTTTTTCTTCCCTCATCCAAACAGGAAACTCCTATTCATCCTTCAGAGCCCAGTTCAAATGTCAAATCTTCCTTGACTAGCCCCTCCCTAGTTAATCAGGCCCTCAGTGGACTTCCACAGCCCCTGCTCCCCTCTGCATGGTCTGTGGGGGTGAGGAGATTCTGCAGGCCCCTCCCAGAGAAGCCATATCCATTGGGAACACTGTTGAGGGAGAAAGTGAAGTTACAGGAAACCATTGTAGGGAGCCCTGGAGATGAACTGAAATGACAGTAAGAGCCAGCTGGAGTTGTGTTTGGTGCTCCCTGGAGTTTTATTTTCCCCAGTGCACAGCCAAGTTTAATAACATAAGACCCCCTGGCCTGCAGCTCGCTCCCTTGCATTTCCTTTATGACCCACCCACACCAGTGGGAGATGGGCCAACTGCATTCATTTGACAAATGAGGAAACTGAGGCTCAGGGAGGCCCAGGGTGAAATCTGGGCTTGGGTTCCCAATTTTCTGTCACTTATCTCTCACCTGCCCCAAGCCCACAAACACTGGCAGTGAAAACGATTCCTAAGTCAACAACTCTGAAGGCAAGTCCTGAATAAGGGCTGCAGCCCTAGCACAGACCTTCCAGGTGCCAGGTCCCAGCCTCGGGGACCCCGGATGCCAGCCTGGGCTCAAACAGCTGGGGCCAGTGCCCACATGTGGTCACAGCTGACAGGGAACAGCAGATCCCAGAGCAGAAGCCCCAGAAGGGTGGTGGCATCTGGGTGTCTCATCACCACGGCACCCCCAGCGCTCAGAGCAGAGACACTCAGTAAATATTTGTGGATAAATTTGTGAAGGGACAACAACAAGCCCCACCCCCGCCCCCACTCCAGGTCTTTCTCTGACTCTTTTTATTTTGTCTGGAAGTTTCAGAAACCAGGGCAGGAGGCCAGGTCCCTCCCGGACAGGCATGGGCCTACCAGCTTACCCTGTTGCTTTTAAAAACCCACAGCCCTCCACAGAGCACAGGCCCAGGCGGCTAGGATCCTAGCTTCGATCCTGTTAGGTACACCCACGTTCCAGAGGTATGGTAGGATCAGTGCCATGGCCGGAAGGAGCTGCCCACGGGGGCAGGTGATACAGGTCAGCCGCCTCCCTTCCAGTGCCCACTGCCAGGGACTGGGCTTTGCAGAGCACCGGACAGCCACCTTGCGCATAATTATTTCCCATAATCCAGAAGCCCGGAGACGGGAGCTATCACCACTCCCATTCCAGGCAAGAAAGCTGAGGCCCCGATGACAGACCTGGTCCAAGGGCCAGGATTTGAACCCCAGCATCTGGCTCGAGTCCACGCACTGAGTCACCGTACAACACTGCCCCTCTGTGCCCGTGGGCACCGTGCGGCCCCTGAGAGAGCAGAGGTGGACTTGGCATGCACAACATCCCTACCCGGGAGGCCGCTGTGGGCAGCTCGTCCTTCAGGCCAGAAACCCCCAGGAGCACACCTACCAGGGCTCACGCTGGATTCGGGGGACACAAGCCAGGGGACCCTGCCCCTGAGGAGCTCAAGCCAGCAGGGAAGCCAGACACAGTCAGGGGAAAGGGTACAGTGGCTTCATCTCCCAAAAATTGAAGGCTCTGCCAGATTCACAAGGGGCAGGGATGCCCTGTTCCCATAACTTGGGTTCCCGCAACTCTGCACCCGCCCCCCAGCCCTGCCCGCCGTGGGCAGAGTAAACAGGAGGCAGACGGCTGAGGCCAAGGCCCCACCCCAGCTCCTCCTCAGCCGAGCTGCTCATACACAGACACACACATGTACACACACATACGCACATACCCATGTCACCACAGCCATTGGAGCCATTGCGGGGGTGGGTCTGTGGTCCTGCAGCAAGTCAAGGGGCCTCCCAGGCCTTGACCTGATGCCCCCCAGGCCATGCTCTGCCCACCAGGGAACCCAGCACCTGCCTTTCCTCACCTCTGCTGACACAGAAGGGGCAGCCAGAGTCCCAGGATGTCTCCAGGGAGCCCCCAGCTCGCCCACCATTGCTGAGGGCCTGGGAAGCCCTGCTACCCTCCACGGGGCACCCTGCCCTGCTGCTCAGCCTGTGGAATTCCCTACACCGACCGTGGCATCCACTCTACCCGGGTTAGGTCTGTGTGGGCAGACTGAGCCCTCCCAGGTGGCAGCTCCGTGTGCTGAGCCTTACCTGCCTGTCGCCCACCAGCTGTCCTGCTGCAATCTGAGTGTCCACCCCCCTCCTGGTCCGCTTCTCAGGAAGTGGAAGGAAGTGGAGGAGGGGGTGGAGGAAGTTCTGCAGAGGGGGGCTCCTGGCTTGGAACTGTGGGGGAGGGGAACTCGGGAGGAGGGGCAGGTGCACAGCAACGCTGCTCTCAGCAGGGGAGACACAGCCCTGCTTTCCTGGGGCCAGGGATGAGGGCCACAGACGAGGCACATCGGGGCGTGGGGAGGGGGGCGAGGACAGTGGCAAGTCTGGGACTCTACCTGTGATGTCAGCCTGTCAGGGCCCACTGAGCACTCACGGCTGTGCTGGGGGCAGGGAAGCCACAGTCCTGGATGGCGGGCCAATCCCCCAGTGTTCCCCCCGGGTGGCTGACAGACTCAAGTGCCACCCCTTCAGCTGGGGCCCCCTGGAGTATGGGAGGAGGCCTCCTGCAGAGCCTGCACATCCCCGATAAGACGTCTGGGGCCCAGAGCCCGAGCCAGCCTCCCGCAGACCCTGTGGAGACTGTGTGCCAGGAGGCCTAGCTCGGGTCTGCTGTGGGTATTTCGGGCTAAGTGGGGATCCCAGCACGGCACACACAAGGAAGGGGCAATTCCTGCCCAGCCACCGGGGGGGAACGCTGGGCAACTGGCCTACCATCTGGGACTGTGGCCCCCCTGCCCCCAGCACAGCTGCGGGTCCTCAGTGGGCCCCTTGGACCGAGGAGGCCGTGGAGTTGGTGAGTCTCCTGACTTCCAGACAGGGCTCTGCCCCTCACAGGGGGGTTGCCAGAGGGCCTTGGCTCTTCAGCAAAAACGTATGGAGCGGCCACACGCTGGGGACGCACTGACAAATCCTACCAACACCAGCTAGAAGGTGAGAAGCGTTGGAAAACAGAGCGGGGGGGGGGGGGGGGGAGGGGGGGGAAAAAGGGGGGGGGGGGGGGGGGGTCAGGGGGTTGAGTAATGGAGGAGGAGGGTCAGGACGTTACTCTGAAGCTGAGTAATGCCCACAGGTTCGCCCTGGGCAAGGCTGCTCCTTGGTCTGAATGTCCCCCAGAGTCCTGGGCTGGGACACAACTTCATGAGCAAGTACCCAGGCCAAGAAGCCTTTTGCCTCACCGTGAGGAGGAGCCTCACAGAGCCAGAGGGAGGAAGCAGGCACCCTCCAAGTCCCAGGCACCTGGGGTGGCGATGGCAGTGGAGGCAAGTGGCTCTGGGCCTAGTCCTCAGTGCCAGGCCTGTGGCCTGCTCCCTGCGCCCAAGCCAGCACCAGGGACCAGAGTACGTCTAAGGGCATGGGAGGCTGCCCTCTGGCTACAGCCTTCACACGCAGCACAGGGCCCCAGCCCGGCCATTGTGGCTTTTGAGAAATCCAAGAGCAGAGGCAGGTGGGGTGGAGGCCCTGGGCCGACCCAAAAGTGGCAGCATGATGGTGGACTTCGGAGCCCACAAGTTCAGGCCCTGCCAGGCACAGGCAGGTGGCCAAGTGTGAGGTGCATTTCTTCATCTCTGAAACGGGGCTCACAAGTCTGTCAGCTTCTAGCATTCACGGGAGAGCCGGAGCCAAGCCTGGCTGCGCCCCAGGGCCCCTCCCAGCAGGAGACAAGACTGCAGCGCGGTCACTGTGGCCCAGAGAAGCCACAAACGCTGCCACCTGACCACAGTACACACATACTCCACTCCCACATTCACGTGCTCTCGGATGCTCTCACACACATTCACTCCTACCTGCTCACTCGCTCAGTCTCAGCCTCACACCTCCACACTCACACTGCCCACCACCCCCACTTCGTAGATTCACACTCAGCCACACATCTGCACTCTCAAACTCACGCACATTCACTCACACTTCACACCCAGTCACTTCACATATTCAGCCGTGTATTTGCAATCACAAACTCGTGTGCATTCACACTCACACGCCCTCTCGTGCACACTCACACTTCACATTACACCTAGTCGTGTCATTTATTCACGCTCAGACACACACGTGCGCTCTCAAACTCCTGCACATCCACACTCGCTCACCAGCACACTCGGTCACACTCCAACTTTCCCCGCCACACCCTCTCCCACCCTCACTCGCGCGGCTCACGGAGGCACCCGCTCCTCCCTCCACTGGGCGGGACCGGGCGGGATGTGAGGGGCGGGGGGGGGAATGCGGGCGGGCGGGGCGCCCCCGTGCCCATCAGCCGGGTGCCCGCCCGCCCCCGGGGCCCGCCGCCCGCACGCCCCCCGGGCAGGAGGGCTAGGTCCCGGCGACTGAGGGCCGGGGCGTGAGCCGCGGCTCCCGCGGGCCACGCGCGGAGCCGGGCGGGCCGGGTGGGGTCCCCGCGGCCCCCGTCCCCGCGGCCCCCCGCACCCCCCCCCGCGCCCCTCCCCGCCTACCGTGCTCAGCTGGGCCCCCATGGTGGCGCCGCACGGTGCTCGCTCCGCCGCAGCCGAGACAGTCCGGCCGCCGCGCCCAGGCCCCGCCCCTGGGCCGCGTCACCCTCGGGGGAGGGGCGGGGCCGAGTGGGCCCAGGCGGCCCCGCCCCGCACGCCGCCGCGGGGAAGGGGCGACGGGAGACCCCGCGCACGGCACGTGGCCCGCTGCAGCGGCGGGCGGCGGTGGGGTCGCCACGCGAGCGCGCGGCCGGCATGGCCCGCGGGGCCGCCTGGGGTGGGACGTTGGCTGGTCCTGGGTCCCGTTTGTCAGCAGAATAGGGGGAAGATGGCGCCCCCCCTCGATGGGATCCGGAACATAAAATCCGGAAACCACCAGGCCACGCCTGGCCTAAACTCTGACGGAGGCACCTAGCGCGGTGCTGGGCCCCGGGTCCTGACACTGCTTAGCTCCGTTCCCCTCCAGGCCTTTGAACTCGCGGTTCCCTCTCTCCGGGACACTGTCCCCAACTGCCTCAGAGCCAGCCCCGGCTTACTGTTTGGCTGCAGGTCAAACGTTCCCTCCTCAACAAAGCCTGCCCCGCCCCTGTGGTCTTCCTAGCACTTGGCCTGGAGCTGAAGTCGTCCCACTGGGTTCCCTGGGGGCGGGGGGAGTGGTCTGCCCCCAGGCCCACCGCATCCCAGCGGACTGTGGGCTCCCTGAGGGCAAGACTTTTTTTTTTTTTTTTTAAGAATTATTTATTAGAGGGGCGCCTGGGTGGCTCAGATGGTTGAGCGTCTGCCTTCGGCTCAGGTCGTGATCCCAGGGTCCTGGAATCGAGCCCCGCATCGGGCTCCCTGCTTGGCGGGGAGCCTGCTTCTCCCTCTCCCTCTACTGTTCCCCCTGCTTGTGCTCTCTCCCTCTCTCTATCAAATAAATAAATAAAATCTTTAAAAAAAATTATTTATTAGAGAGAGAGGCAGAGGGAGAGAATCCTCAAGCAGATCCCCCACCCACGCTGAGCGCATAGCCTGATGGGGTGCAATCCCAGGACCCTGAGATCATGACCTGAGCCAAAATCCAGAGTCCCATGCTTAACCCACTGAGCCATCAACAGGCCCCCCAACTCTGCTTTGAAGTCCCCTGCATGCCTGGAGGCTAGGGTATAGTGGTTGCTCAATAAATACTTGTTGAATGAGCGAATTTAACAGTACCGCCTCTGTGTAAGCCCATGCTGGGTCCAGGAAGGCTCTGTGGCCTTCGTCTCAGGAATGGTCTTGGACCCAGATGTGAACTCCTGGTAGTCTGACTGCTTAGGCTGCCAGGCGTCGTGTCCCTGCATTGTGATGCTGACCAGGCAGGGAACTGGGCCTTCCAGGCAGAAGGAGCTGGGCAGAACCTGGAGGTAGAAACAAGGTGGAGAGACACAGCGTTGCAAAAAGACCCTAGGCCTGTTGCTTTCCAGGGGACACCAATACAGCTGGAGCTGGCGGCACAATGGGATGATGTGAAGTCAGGATGAGGCAGTATGGGGACCTGGGTAGGGGGGACTGGGATGTGGGGAGCCCTGGAGGATTTAGGCATGTGAGGGAGTAAATGGCTGGTTTTAAAAGGCAACAGGGGACAGCGTAGAGGGAGGAACAGAGAAAGGGATCTACTACCATAGAATATAAGGGTAAATGTGACAGCAGATCAGTTAGGTATGATTTCAGTTTTATTGATCACAATTTTTTTCTTTTTCTTTCTCTCTCTCTTTTTTTTTTTTTTAGTAATCTATGCCCAACACGGAGCTTAATCAAACTCAGGACCCCGAATTCAAGAGTTGCATATTCCATGGACTGAGCCAGCCAGGTGCCCCTACTGATCACAATTTTGGTATTACAAAGGAAGTAATGAAATCAGAAAGTTCAGGGTGTGCAACCAGTAACTTCCCACGAGTAGGTGCTTCTTTGGACAAGCACCCTTGTCCACAACGCCTTCCGCTGAGGCCCAGGAGCAGATCACCCCTGACCTCATCTGCCACAGTCATTTCTGGTTTTCTTCATGTTCTTTAATGATGATGATGATCACAAATGTGGACATGTGATGTTGGCGTTTGTTCTTGTGAAATTTGGAGGTGACTAACTTGGCTTTCTCCTTTTGATCATCCATCCTCACAAGCCTTGAAGAATTCCCATATAGGGCTTTTCCTCGAAACATTCATCCCTTAAATGGCATTAAATATACAAACAAAACTTAAATAACATTTAGACAAAGGCTATAAATGCTAGTCCAGCAAACAATCCTACAAAATCGGAATTAAGATGAAATCTGTTTTTCTGTCTTGTATTATTATTTAAATTATTAGATGCATTTGTAGACTCAAAAAGGAAATGGCTTTCCTCCTAAAGTTATCACGTTATTACTGCCTCTCATAAGATTATGTTAATTATCCACTTTCTCTTTGAACCTCTTCATTTTTTCTGCATATAAAATTAACATTGTTCATAATCAACATAAATTGTTGAAGCATTTTGCTCTCTCTGTAATAAATCCTGTCTGTGTTCACACCTCAACCCACTAACACACCTCAGTATGTAAAGCACAAAAGGAGATTTCACTCCTAGTTACTTCTGGAAGCTTCCCTAGAAAGTGACCCACCTGCCAGGCCTGGCCTCACACGGGTGTTGGTTCCTGCTTGCTTGTGAGACCACATTCCATGGCTACACATGAACTTGGAGAGGCCAAACCTGGCACACAAGTGGACAAAAATTGAAGCTGAAGCCAAAACTGGGGGCAGATTTTGTCTGCTTGAGGCTCGCATGTGGTCAGGACATTTGCTATGAGCTCTGGATGGTGCCAACTCCAGCATCCCCAGAGACCCCTTGCAGCCACACCATCCAGCTGGCTCGGACCCCAGGCCCGGCAATCCCGTCCTCTGGCTGCCCCCATCCCTGAAAAGGGATGGGTCCAGGTGCATTTATTTTGCCCAGTTATTGGTCTGGGCCTCAACTCCCAACAGAGTTCCTTCCTGGGGTTTGGATCTGCTTACAATGGCCGAGAGAGACCCTAGGCCTGTTGCTTTCCAGGGGACACCGTTACAATTCCTGTCCCCTTTTCTCTGAGCTTCCCTCTTCTCCTTCCTGTCTGATCCTGCATGCATCTTGGGAGGTGGGATGTCTATTCAGGGGTGGTAGGGAATGCAGGTTTAGGGAGTTGTGGCTCTGTTTCTTTGGAGAGAGAGGGATAGATTCCTACCCAGACTCCAAGGGAGTAGCTTACGCCTGCAGGTCTATAGGGTGGCCATAGTGTTGGGGAGTATGTGGGGCTCTGAGAAAAGAGCTGGGATGACATTGATTAGGTGGCCCTCTCCTGCTCTTCAGACTCAAACCAAGAGGGTAGGTTTCACTGCCATTCATTGTGTGACAGGCTCAGGCCTTCCCCTTTCAGGGTACCCCTCTGAGAAAGGATGGCTGTGGGTGTTGGGGAGGGCACAGTGTCTTCAAGACCACTTCTACTTCTGATATTTTATTTCTGGGTGCCCTCAGACTTGGAAAAATACCCAATGTTCAGAGAAATTGCAAGAAGAGTACCACGAGGGACACCTGGGGGGCTCAGTCAGTTAAGCGTCCGACTCTTCATTTTGGCTCAGGTCATGATCTCGGGGTCATGGGATGGAGCCCTCCGTCAGGCTCTATGCTCTGTAGGGAGTCTGCCTGAGGTTCTCTGTCTCCCTCTCCCTCTGCCCCTACCCCTGCTCATGCTCTCTAAACACACACACACACACACACACACACACACACACACACACACACACACAAATAAAATCTTTACAAAAAAAGAATAGTACGATGAACGATCAGATTCACCAATGGTTATCATTTGACCTCTCTCTCCCCCTTCCTTCCTGTTTTCTCTTGCTGCACCTTGGAGAGTTAGGTGCAGATATGGGACCCTTCACCTCTAAACACTTCACATTTCTCCTAAGAACAAGGCCATTCTTTTATATACCACAGTTAAATGATCAAATTCAGGAACTTTCACATCGACAGGACACCGTGACCTAGTCTCCAGTCCACATTCCACTTGCCCCAGCTGCCCCTATAATGTCCTTTCCAGCTATTATTTTTTCTGGCTCAGGCTCTAAGCCCAGGTTAAGTGTGGCATTCACTTGGCAGATCTCTTTAGTCTCCTTTGGATCAGAGAGCAGGTGATGGACGGCTCGCCTGGTGTTGGCTGCCACGTCCACCTACAATAAGGTACCTTGATACTATCTGAAGGTCCTCATCCCCCACATTGGTTTTCACATTTGCGGTTGCTCCTTGCCTGAATCAATTATCATTATGGTGGTTTAACTGGTTTACTAGTTGCTTTGGGGAAAGAAAAAAAAAAAAAAAAGACCTTTGTCCTAATCATTCCTCAAGGTCCTTCAGGAAGCCAAAGAACAGAAACTCCCCACAGGCCTCTTTGCCTTCTGGGCATGAGCTGTCAGCTGAGAATCCCCTACTCTACTCAGGTGTTTGATCCTGGGGAGAGGCTGAGAGACCGGGTGGGGAAACCATTAGTTTCATTTCATAGAGGAGGAAACTGAGGCCCAGAATGAGGACAGAAGTGGGCAGCCGTGGAACAGCTCCTCCCAAGGAGTCTCTGGGTTCCAACACCTTCCATGGACCAGGGTAGGGGTTTGGAAAGGAGGCTTTCAGGCAGACTGCAGGGCAGAGTTTCAGGGTCCAGGTTGGGGCTCTCTGACCCCCTGACAGTGCCCCTGGTCCCTGTGACCTGTGTACGGCCTAGGTTGCCAGATTTAGCAAATAAATATATAGGATGCCCGATTAAATGTGAATTTCAGCTAAACAATGAATACTTCTTTAGTAGAAGTCTGTCCCAAATAAAGCACTTAAAACACACTTATACTAAAAATTACACTAAAACCTCATGATGTCTGGGATGTTTGAACTGACACAGGGGTTGCCAATTAAGATATAGGACACCCAGGTCATTTTCAAGTTCAGGGAAACAATAATTTTTAAACTCAGCTGTAGGGAATGAAAACACGTGTGGCAGGTGTTGTCAGACGCAAGAAGTGAGGCAGGTGAAGTTGGGGCCTTGAATGCCGGGAGCATTGCCCTTCTGAGAGTAGATGACAGCCCTGGGAGGAAGGGACTGAAGCTCGGAGAGCCATGGCCAGACAGTTCTAGAAATCTCCCTCTGGGGGCACCTGGCTGGCTTAGTTGGTAGAGCATACAATTCTTGACCTCAGGGTCGTGAGTTCAAGCCCTATGTTGGGCTTAGAGCTTACTTAAAGATAAAAAAAGAAAGAAAAGAAAGAAGGAAGGAAGAAAGAAAAAGAAGCAAGCAAGCAAGCAAGCAAGCTCCCTCTGGCTATGGGGTGGCGGGGAGTGTGGGCAGAGGTGAGGAAGGCTAAAGGTCAAGGAGCAATCTGGGCACAGCTGCAGGGCCCAGTGACATGTCAGGAGGTTCAGGCCAATGGTCAGGGGATGAAAAGAACATTCAGGAGGCAGGACCTATGGGGCCTGAGGCCCACCAGCTCAAGAAGGTGGGCAGGAGGCTTCTGGCCTGGCATGGGAGTTTGGGGGGCTGTGGGAGGGGGCAGGGAAGGCCTGATAGGCAATGGGGTCCATCATCTGTAGTTCAGAAGGGGCCGGGCCCCAGAAGGAGAGTGTGGCCCTGGGGCAGGGAAGGAGGGACACGGGGCTAGGGTGGGGTGGGGGCTGTGCAGCCCTGTCCTGGGAGGCATCTTCGCCCACATTACTTCCTCCAGCTCGTTTCTGCCCTATGAGGAACTAGCTGGACTGCAGGGTCCTGGAAAAGGGCAGGGGTGGAGCCCAAACCTGCCAGACCACCTGTCTACCCCCACCCCTCGCTGAGTGTCTGGAGAGGCCCTGAAATGATTTGTTGGGAGCTGATGTATTAATCTCCTTAGGCATTTGCAATTTGAAGAGAGAACCTGTGGGGGCTTTGGAGCAGTGGCAGTAGCAACTGGGACTGGGGTGGCTTCCCACCCAGAGACTGAAGTGTTAACTGGTAGAATCTAGGCACCTGCTCGGGTGCTTCGATGGGGAGGGGGCACCTGGACAGGCAGTCAGCTCCAGGGTCACCAGGCCTGTTCTGGAAGCCAAGCAGTCTGCTCTGGCACAATCTTCATGTGGGCAACAGGGAGAATGATGATGATACAGGAACTGGTGTGGTGCACCCTCTATGTGGTAAGCGCGTGAGGAGTATTTGAAGACAGCCCCAGCCTGGGGGGCCCAAAACCCACGCAGCCAGTGGAATGCGGTGGTCCGAGGAGCCAGCTGAGCTTGACAGCAAGTCATCCCTTACCCAGGGCACCACATCCCCACCTTATAGAGGAGAGACATGGCTCAGAGAGGGAAGAACCTTGTCGGAAATCACATGTCACGCAGCTAAAGGGGGTTTGGGCTGCAGTTTGAACCCAGGTCTATTTGCTTCTGAAACTCAGCTCTCCCCATGCCCGCCTGGCCCTGGAATTAGGCATCTATTTTTTCCTCTTCCTTGGTGGCCTGGGCTGCCTTATGATGAATGGCAGGGACTGAGTCCGGGGTGGGGGACTCTGTGTCACTCCCCCTAAAATACTGCTTTCTCTAGACCAGAGATTCTCAAATCTTGGCTCTTGCCATGTGACCTGGGCAAATCACTCCCCTCTCTGGGCCTATTTCCTTGCCTATAAAATACAGGATCCTCTAGAACCTAGGTAGAATCTTGACGGAACAAAGTTTGCAAACTGCTGGCCGAGGATGGCATCCAGCCCACGGAAGAATCTGTTCTGGGTTTGGGCTTCATTTGAGTGAATTGCCAACTTAGGATTTCTGGCTTCTTGTGACAAATCCAAGGCTCTCATTGGACCAGCTCCTCGTCTGGGGGCCCTTCAGTTCCTGGATTTGCAACCTCTGGTGAAGCTGATCCTAAAATTCTCCCGAAGTGCCCACACAGGTTATAATTCTCACGCACTTTGCTCCCTGGGAAGCAGGAGACAAGGGGTCTAGGCTTGGCTCTGCCCCAAGCTTGGCTCTGTCTGAGCTTAGGCCAACCACCATTCCTCTCTGGGCCACATCTGTACACAGGGAT